GATTTACCTACAGGGTCCGTAGATAAATCCCAGTGATATTTTCCTTTGTGAAGCATTAATGAACCTTTCCTAGTGATGCCAGAGCTCCTGGGTCTCTGCTCTTCATGGAGGAAACCAGAAAGAGAGACCCATTCTATCAGGAATTTCCAGGGAACATGCGCATGGACTAGGTGGTCAGTAGAAAGGTGAAAGTTAAAATCAGTTATATTACAACAGCCTGAAACTGGGCTGTGCAGCTCTTACAAGGCAGCCATAGTGAAGAAGGCATGGATTTTTCTGCATGGGGGATTCTAGCACCGTTACTCCACAAAACAGGTGGCCAGTATCTCCTTCACGGTCTACCCATTTCCTGAGTACTGAACTCACTTTAAGTTGCTTTGGGCAATGCAGTCTGGTGCAGCATCTCTGTGCAATCCCAGCAAAGCACAGTGGACATAAGATGCACAAGTCCAAAGGTTAAATGCATCAAATCAGTCACCAGGGGTCATAACCCCTAATAAATGTTGTATCTGGAAGCAGAATAGAATTTAAAATCAAACCACCAATGATCCACAGATCACTGACATGGGCTTCAGGAAACTCCACCATGGCCCAGCCAATACTATGACAAAAGGAAACATGACTACATTCCTCGGTCATTGAAGTTGTGATGAACTCTCTACAAAAGCTCATATTCATCAGCATGCAGCAGTGCAGCATGAGTGGTACATTTCACAAGAGCAACATGACACCCTAACCCATACGAGCTGCAAGGCTCAGCAGCAAGGATGGAACTAGGTGGCGAGGATAATATACACTTATCACATCCCTGTGAAGCTAAGTTTATGTCTGCAAAGCACCTTGAGTTTACAGGGCCATGCTGACACGTGAAGTGCCAAGTCTGGCAGCAGTGCCCTAAAGCACATTGTACTGCTTTGCCTCCTAAAGCGGAAGCAATGGAGCTGCATTTTAGTACCAGTCCAGATGCACCAATTAGCCAACCCCTGTACTAACTGGTCCATTCGCAGTGCTATATGGACACAGGTGCACTGCTTTTGGTTTATGAGGAAGGCCACACAAGTGACACACTGTGCATGAGGCACTTCTGTTGGGCACTAAGTTTAATGTTAGTCATGGCCTGGGATGGAAGGTACCGGAAGAGTCACAAGCAATTATCTGACTTCCTAGGGTATGTTTACATAGCTGGCTCTCAACCCTTTTGGAGTCAGGGCACCCCCTTCATAGCTTTTCTTAATTTGGTAGCTACCCCAGCTGAGAACTACTGCTGCACTCCCTCGGCATATCTTAGTGCTTCTCAACTGGGTGCAGTCAATTAAGTACCTGCTGTTGCTGTGGTCATTCCCAGTCTGACCCTCCCCACCCCCATGCTCTCCTGGAAACAGTCGCACAAGACAGTTTTAACTGCCTTGTGCACCACCTCTCTTTCTGGGACAAGCATTTGAGGAGAGTTATCGGGGGGCCGTGAGGGGGAACCTGTTCTGTTGGACAAGGAAGATCTGCAGTGGGACTGGGTACTCTTGCCTACTTTAGGTTTATCTGGCTGTCCACAAGGTGCCTGGGGCAGTTCCATATGGCTGCAGTAGCGCCCAACCACAGAACCCTTGAAAGGCTCTTGCAGCACTCTGGTCAAGAACCACTGGTTATACCATGGCAGTATTTCCTAGAAAGGATGTTTCTGAGCATATCCCACTTACCCACTGCTGCTTGTCCACTCCAAACTAGGGACTATACCAGCAAGGCTTCTCTGGAACCATCCCCAGCAGCTGGGAGGCTGCATTCTCAAGAGAATTCTCAAAGGGACACTCTGGAGTGTCTTCATAGGTATGTTTCCAGGCCTGGAGCATGTGAGGGAGAGCAGGTGGTCTGGGTAAGCCCACCAATGTTCTTGCCAGGACAAGCTGCCACTGCCGTGTCATTCTGCCTTAGTCTGTGAGCAAGCTTTGACCCTTAGGACAGTATACAGTGCAGCTACACACAAACCGGGCAGTTTCTATTACACAGTGATTTTATGGTTAGACCTATGGTAAAGATTCATAGATTCATAGACATTAGGGCTGGAAGGGACCTCGGAAGATCTTCGAGTCCAGCCCCCTGACCCAGGGGCAGGAAGTCAGCGGGGGTCATAGAATCCCAGCAAGATAGACATCCAAATGTCTCTTGAAGGAGTTCAAAGTAGGTGCTTGAACGACCTTGGGTGGCAGTCTATTCCAAACCTTGGGGGCTTGGACAGTAAAGAAGTTCTTCCTTATGTCCAGCCTGAAATGGTCACAGAGGAGTCTGTGACTGTTCGACTTTCTCATCCCTTGGGCACTCTGGCGAACAGACATTCCCCCAGATCCTGGTGAGCACCCCTGATAAACTTATAGGTGGCTATCAGGTCACCCCTGAGCCTGCACTTTTCCAGGTTGAAGAATCGTAGCTTTCAGCCTCTCATCGTAAGGCCTGTTTTCCTGACCTCTGATCATGTGTGTGCCTCTCCTCTGCACTCTCTCAAGCTTCTCCACGTCCTTTTTGAATTGTGGAGCCCAAAACTGGATGCAGTACTCCAGCTGTGGCCTCACCAAGGCCGAGTACAATGGGAGAATGATGTCCTGGGATTTGCTTGAGAAGCATCTATGGATGCAAGCCAGTGTTTTGCTTGCTTTACTAGCTGCAGCATCACATTGAAGGCTCATGTTCATCTTGTGGTCAATCATGACCCCCAAGTCCCTTTCATCTGAAGTGCTAGCTAGTGTAGCACTGCGGAGCCTATAAGCATGCTGCGGGTTTTTCCTCCCCAGGTGGAGAACCTTGCATTTTTCAGTGTTAAATGCCATCAGGTTCTCGTCTGCCCATTTCTTGAGCCTATCGAGATCAACCTGGATCACCCTCCTGTCCTCAGTTGTGGACGCTTTACCCCAAAGTTTGGTGTCATTGGGGAACTTGGCCAGTCTGCTTCTGATGCCAATGTCCACATCATTAATGAAGATGTTGAACAATATAGGCCCAAGGACAGAGCCTTGAGAGACCCCACTGGTCACAGGGCACCACGATGATTGACTTCCAACAACCACCACTTTCTGGGCCCGACCACGGAGCCAATTCCCCAGCCAGCGGATCGTGGAGAAGCCCAGGCCACAGTTGGCCAGTTTTATTAAGAGGTGATCATGGGATACCAGATCAAAGGCTTTTTTAAAGTCAAGCTATCTGATATCAATCTCTTCCCCCCTGTCCACATGATAGATCACCTGGTCATAAAAAGGCAATAAGATTGGTCAAGCAAGACCTACCCGTGACAAACCTGTGCTTGCTATCCCTCAGGATTTTGCCATC